AATAGATAGATAGATAGAATAAAAAACCTCAATATGCACTAGCATATCCAAAAGTATACCAGCCCTAGGCAGAGTAAGTCTAGTTTCAACTTTTGAAACTGGCCAATTCGTATGTATGAGAATGGAGCAGCAGTCGTCAGCAGGCTTAATGGCCTCGAGGCAATTGGACAGGCCTTGGAAACAAGGCCGACGTCGTTTTGGCCAAAGGGAGCACAAGATACCAGCCTAATCGGCCTGCCAGCTGACTCGGGCGGATCAGCTGATTGGCTGCCTGACAGTCTACAGCTGGGCAACTGGACGGTAGAACACATGACCAAAACAAAAGCGCCAAATTCACTGGTAGTGCTTTCACTGCTTCATTCTTTAATGTTTATTTCACAAAAGGTATAAATAATAATAGTTATACGCAGTAATTTTAATAAAATGAAATTGCTTATTGGAGGATGGGATTGGAATATACTGATAATATGAGTCATTTACAAACAAGTCGATATTGCCATAGAGCTTACTGTCACCATGACTACTAGGATATATAAGCGACTTCCAAGCTGAAACTAAGCGTGAACCACACATATTCTTAACACTATTTACCTCCAAGCAATGAATATTATTAACCCTTGTATGGCATTTATTTAATCGCAAGTTAAATTTAATTACTAAATAGTTAGCCCCTTATTTACTATAAAATCCATCCGACTCCACCATTGGCATAAAAATTGTAAATTGTTGGTCATATTATGCATCAAATTCCGGGAAGTGACAGCCTATAGTGTGAATTGTGTGAAAGTTTTGATGATGTCTACGCATTTCCTTATATTCAATGTCCTAATGGCATATTCGTGTCAAGACATACATTATAACTTGAATAGGATTAGAATAAATGGTCTGTCATTAAGTTAAATCGAATATATACGTAAATTGGTTTAATTACGATCCAGATTCTTTGGACAGCATGTTTGAAGAAGCGTGATTTTTACTAATCTGGTCAAGAATGGAAGTTACGTAGGAAATCCATACGGATAAGAATTTCAAGTTATTTTATATATATACTTTTGGGCAAAATTTCGATCATTTATATACCTCTCTATAAGCACATGACGAAAAAATATTGCAGCATATTTAGAGGAGATTAGACTAGGTGACATTGATTTTACAGAGACTGAATATACAAGGGATCCAAGTAACATGAAGGTACATATGAGCTGTTTTCACACTATCTCGTTTAAGCTGATGGAGGACTGGTAGTTGAAACCCACTCAAAAAAACGAAAAAAGGAAGGTACATAGTTTGAGCGAGCATTAATAGATGAGAAATAGTAAATTAGACATATAATCTGCTTTTATGAATAAAAAGTTGAAAATTTATCTTAAGGACACCCGAGACTTTGTAGGGCTTTGGACAAGGAAGAAAAGTTGGGTTTCGAGCAATCTCTTGGTGCTTAATTGTTGAACTTACTTCCATTTCAAGTGAAACTGTTGGGTAAAGACATTCTAAGGTCGGTTCCACCAGAAGACGATGGCGGCCAATCGACAGCTGGTCAAGAGGAATCCGCCGTCGTCTTCTGGTGGAACCGACCGTCGAAATTCTTCACCCAACACTTTTACTCGAAATGGAAGTAAGCTTACCAATTTGGACAAGGAGTCATAGGAATTTGGGAGAATACAAAGGACAATAGGATATATAAAATATTGGAATATCACTAAGATTTTGGCAGATTTTAAGAGAAATCTTAGAAAAATTAATTAAATTATGATTGTTAAGAATATACTAGAGTAAAGAATAGGAGGAAGAGACAAGCTTAAGTCTACCCATGCTGCTAACTAATTTAGGAATATACGGCTAGTTCGCTAAGTAATTCTTGAAAGCAACGAAGTAAATCTTCCAGATAATTTGAAGAGATGTCATGCCAAGTAAACCGATACGAAATTCAAGATAGATAGGGGAAGTTGATAATTTATTAGATGATTTTACGTTAGTATTATCACTCTCAGTAGCAAATTTGAACAAGTTTTGATACTACAATTCTCGTCACCTCCAGAATAGGTTATACGA